ACCATCGCTATCATCCGAATGATAAGGAGTCGTTCGATCGTCATCGTCACTTCCTTCAGGTCCATGAAGCCTGCCAAATCCGTTCGATCCATTGCTGCACTTCCGTGGCAGTACGTCGAACTGGGGCACTTCTTTCCTAGTCGTGTCTTTGACGATCTGCGTGTATGCGCATGTCAATAATACTGCCTTGTTTGCATGAGGACAATCGCCTCAGTCGGAGTACACTCGCTCAGACAAAAACGGTTCGATCGCGTTGAATCTTGAGCTGAAAAGCTGCTGCAGTTCAACATGTTGAGCTTGGAAGCAACCCATGGTGCAGCCGTCAAGTCTTGGAAGGCCGTGTGGCTTAGGCCGGGGCTCTTCGAGGATCTCGATGCGCAGACTGTCTCAGCCTGGCCGCCGACAGACTGAAAGTGAGCAGAGGGATACTGATGCCATGCATGACTTTCCTTCTCTTCCTTCCCTTCCCGCCTCCCTCACATCACTCCTTGCTGCCTGTTCATTCCTCGCATCTACAGTCACACCCTCATCTTGATCATTCCTTCTTCCTTCCCTGCTTCCTTCCTTCCTTGCTTCCTTCCTTGCTTCGTTAATTATTTTCGCTGTGTCTCTCTCTCTCTCCCTCTCTCTCTCTCTGCATCAGTCTTTGAGGGTCCGGCTCACCCCTGCTCGGGGTTCATCCTCACCCCTGTTCGCGGTTCATCCACACCCCTGCATGGGGTTCTCACGACCCCTGTTCAGGGTCCAGGCTCACCCTTTTCGGGGTTCATCGGACGCCCCTGTGCGGGGCTCTAACGACCCCTGTTCGGGGTCCAAGCTCACCCCTGTTCGGGGTTCATCCACACCCCTGCACGGGGTTCTCACGACCCCTGTTCGGGGTCCAGGCTCACCCCTTTTCGGGGTTCATCCCGCAGCCCTTTCGGCCTTGGTGCGGGTACGCCCCTGTACGGGGCTCCGACGACCCCTCTTCGGGGTCCAAGCTCACCCCTATTCGGGGTTCATCCCGCGGCCCATTCAGGCCTTGGCGCGGGTACGCCCCTGTACGGGGCTCCGAAGACCTTGATGTGGCCACCTGACATCCTGACAGGGCCTGCACGAATGCCTACAACTACTTTTGCCTGCTACCTTTTAGGGTTGAAGGTTAGTTTAGGGTTTCGGGTTTTGGATTTAGGGTTCAGGGTTTAGGGGTTAGGGGTTTAGGGGTTTTAAACCTCTTTCCTCATAATGCCTCCTTACCTACATGCCCGCCTACCTAGCTATCTATCTACCTACCTACCGACCTGGAAGCCTGCCGACGCACCTACACCTACAAGTACCTTCCCTCCTGCCTATCTACTTATCCATACCTACTTGCCTACCTAACTATACCTCTCTACCTACCTGTGTGCCCCTTCCTACCTGCAGCTTCTGGGCTTGAATGGGTGGGCGGGTTTGGGGGTTGGGTGGGTTTAGAGTTTAGGGTTCAGGGTTTAGGGCATGGGCTGGACGTTACGAAAGTTCAGATTCCCTTCATGTTTAATCATGAACATGCTAATTTTCAAGTTGTTCTGAATCGTACAAACAGCTGACTTTAGGGTTTCAGAACACAAAATCTCAAGCTTTTTGTTTCCGTTGAGCCACAAGAACACCAAGTTACATTTGTTTGGTTTGTTCGGCATAAACGTATTTTCATTTTTTTGGCAACTTTAATTTCCATGTGAACTACAAAACTTGGGACAGGCAATTATATCAGTAGGGCTTTGATTTTTCGATGTATATGTTTCACATTTCGATCAAACCAAGTTTCAGGCATTGATTTTTCTATCGAGCCACAAGCACACATCTTTTTATACATGTCCAGCATCTCGCTTCTTCCATATAGAGCGACAAGAACACAGTTTTTCAGGTATGCATCTCCATTTGGAAGAGACCAAGTTTTCAGGTCTTGTTTTCCATTGAGCCGCAAGAACACAAGTTTTCACATGTCCAGCATGTCTTCCATTGAGCCACAAGAACACATGTCTTGCTACATTCCATGTCACATCAACATCATAAGTCCTAGGACAAGAACACACTAAGTCCTAGGACCCGGTTCCATAATGGAAAGGACCCGGTTAGCCCCGGACTGGCATTAGATCTAGAACCAAATACAAATACAAAAACGACGTCAACAAATCATTCCAGATCTGCAAACAAGTGGCTTCGAGATTAAAGAAACGATTCGCCGCTGAAATGATGCATGGTTTAACAACAGCAGCTTGAGTGCGAAGGCCTCCAGCTCTTCAGGGCTGACAGCGTTCTCGTTGTTCCAGCATAGCATACCCTTCAGGTTTTCTATTGTTTGTTTGGTCCATGCTGTGATCCCTGTCCGGAGCGCGATGAATTCAGCATCGATTTGTTGCAGCCGCCTGTTACGAAATCAACAATTGGTAAATCATCGCACGGGCATGGCTCGGAATGAGGTGACTTCACTCTTGCCGATGCAGCCTTTCCGTACTTGGAGAGTATACCGAACATGTGCCGCACCGGTTCGCGTGTTTTGTACGTAGCTGCCATGACAAACCAAAACAGACTGTCTTGAATACACTGCAGCGAACCACGAATCCACTTCGTGGCTTTTTGCCTGCATTCCTGAGCCTCTTCCATGCCAAGCTCGACATCACACTCAGCGATTGCAGCTAGCACGGCTTGTTCTGGATTGTTGGCTTCTGCGGCTTTGTCGTTGTAATCTCGAGTTGCAAATGTAGCCATGAAAACTCTGACCACAAAGTCCGGAGGCCCCGTCAACAAGAACTCCTCAGAGCCTAGGTCACGTGGTCACGTTGTCCTAACAATTGTCAACAACTGCACAAACGACATGTTCATGCACAACCGACACACATACACACATGAGTGCAGAGTTTGCAGTCATGCAACAATCAATTGATCCCCATCTCCCTGCAACTGCAAGAGGCGGCACACGACTGGCTCCCTTGTACTCCCAAGGCTTCGGTATCAGCACTTGCCATGTCTTGCTGATCTTGACAGCATGGGCACGCCAAGTGTGACAGATCTTCGCAACAGCACCAAAATAACCCCACGATCTGCCATGAGCTGCAAGAAGCTTGTTAATCAACCTGACACTCTCCTTGACAATCAAGTGCAACTGGTGTTTCATGCATGGTTGCTCAAACATCCACTGGTTTCTGTACCTGGGTTTGTCAAGAAGTGTGCGAAGTGACGACCTCATCCCTGTCTGATCAGTTCCGCAATCACCTGCCAAAGACCAAACGTGTATGTAGCACGGAGGCAAGAAACCACGCCTAAGAGGCAGCACTAGGCAAGATGGTTAAGATGACGTTGGCTCATAGTGACTCAAAACAAAGTTACACAAACACAAACTGAAGATTACTTAATCTAACGAAAGTTGCTCGAACATGTCTGCCAACTCTTCCCAGTTTGGGCATTTGGCTGTCCGAAGTTGCTTCATGACGATTGCCAGATTGTTGGCTGCAGTGCCAGAGTTCACGACTTGCAGGTCACACCTCAGCTCAGATGAGACTGAGACTGACAAACATGTCACTTAAGCTCCATGTCCGAATCAATGCCGGCAGATCAACCACTGCAAGCCTCAAGCAGTCAAGGATTCCAGACAATGCAAGCAAATCAAGAACTACATATACAAGCGCACACACACACACACCACACCACACATGGATTCTCACATGGATGCATGGCGCACGGCTCATGGCTTACGTGCAAGAAACAACAACTAATAGAAATCAGAAATAGAAATAGACTGACATGAATGAACATTGATTGGACCTTTGTGACCCCTAGCAGCTAGTGTATGCAGCTCGAGAATCACTGTGGTGTGAAATGCAAAGGTCTTCATGTACTCGGCGGGGTGTGACAGGCTAACAGAGTCCGTCATACATGCAGAGGTCAGCAGCAACCCCTGTTCGTAGCATCACCCGCAAACGCAGTGCCACCCAGGCAAAAGACTCGCTCCAGTTGTTCCGACGCAACACCGCCACCAGATCCCGTGCAGAACCATCTAGACACTGTATCTGGTACGGATGTCATCGTGCAACTCTGAGCCACTCGTCTGCTGAATAGCTGAAACCAATGCATGAGTAGCGGTGATGTCGGAACGACCCTTCTGCTCGGCAGCAGCCTTCATCATGCATGCGTAAATTGTTGCCAGTGCCCGTAGCCGATGCTTTACCATCTCGTGGAAACACCCCGTACGAGCTACAAGAACACACACCACACACACACACACACACACACACACAACTGAAACGTCCATGCGCTGATTGCACCTGACGACAGACGACAGTACTCAAGCACTCAGATTCTTTCCCCCTCAGTCGGAGTCGAAGCCGAAGCTTTGTGCATCCAGCTGAGCTGCCGTGGGTGCCGCACCAGGAATGTTATACGGGCACCGATGAACATGAGCCCGCCTGTCCGGATAGTGCCTTGCTTCAAGGCACCACCACTTCAACTTGAGCAGCGTATTATCTTCCCCGCCATGAGCAGAGAACAGGAGTGTCCGACGGCACTGCTCATGTGCTTCGTGCTTGCAGGTGGCCTCGTATCAAGTTGTGCTCCCATCGCTGCCCTTGATGGGAGTAAACTTACAGCCTCTCCAGAAAAAGGTAAGGGGCCCGAGCGCACCGCCGAGTCCGGCACGAGCCTTCGCCTTGCCTTTAGCCTTTGATTTTGCTTTTGCTTTCGCCTTCGCTTTGGGAGCCGGCACCGGTGCGCCGTCTGTGGCTCCGCTGCCGGTGGAGAGGCTGCCAGAGCCGCTGCCACTGCCACTTGAATCACCTGAGCCTGAGCTGCTATCGGAACTGCCAGTGCTGGAATCGGACTCTGAGGTGCTCCCACTGCTGCCGGAATTAAGCTCTGCTGCACGCACTGGATGCAAGACGTCCTGCAAGATGGCCACCACTCCGCCACCGTTGTCGCCTGCAACTGCCTCAGCCGCAGCCTCAGCTGCCTCAGTTTCAACTTCAGCTGCTACTTCATTCATCTTCATCGATCTCGTCTATCATGCGAAGCAACTCATCGACATCACCGGCATCATCGGAACCGTCGGGACCATCCTGGGCATCCTCCAAAGCAGCATCAACAGGAGATGCATCACCGATATCATCAACTGCCGGGTGAGGATGAGCACCGCCCTCTGGAAGCGGCCAACGTCAAAGCGAGCAGGTACAAGCGATCAACCACGACACCGGATTTTTGCTGCACAAGGAACAAGATCTTGCTATCAGGCGCAGCCGCCCGGTGATCAAAGGACTCAGCTTTTCGGCACTGGCTGGCACGGCAAGCACGTGCTTCCCAGCCGTTGTCCAACAGTGTTTGCAACAGCTGCCACTTCGACTGCTCCACCGGTGGAACAGGCAACTTCGCAAGCAGAAGACGTGGCTGGGTCACGGCATTGGCCAAACAAACGTGTCGCAAACCTTTGTCTGTGAGTTTGAATGGTGGGTCCTCAGTCAGCAGACCGTTTTGCTGCAAGGGCAACAGGAGTGATCGTTGCTCAGTCGTGAAAGACGATGTGTCCGTCACGCCTGCCTTGCCTTCCAACAAAATCTTCTCAAGCACGACTCGTAAGGCCCGCGAATCTGACAGGGGAGGCGAGTAGTCTTGGCAAGCCCGCAAACAATTCACAATGTTGGGGTCAACTTTCAACACTCTCAAGGACTTCAGCTGCGACAAGGACAAGCTGCTAAATGAAAGCACACAAGGAATGTCGTCCACAGCGAGGCCTCGGGCTGCAGACCTCATGTTAAGCAGCTCCGAGTCAACGATCAGCTCTCTGCGCTCCTGGTTGAAGGAAGCCGCCCGAAGCAATGCGATCGGGAGGTCCGTGCTGCTCAGTCGCAGCTCACCGTCAGCTTGGAAGCGTTTCATCTTCGACATGGATGGCACCAACTTGAAAAATACGCCTGTCATCTGATGATGTGTTGCTTCTGCTTGGCTGATTTTCTGAAAGAGAACATCTATTTCTCTGCGAGGGCCAGGGCCGGATATCTCAACTATGTCCTCGGATGCAACCACCTCAGGCGACGAGTATGTCAACATGGGCATCGGCTGCTGCTGCGAGGGCAGCAAGAACTCACGAAGCAAGGAGAAAGCTCCGGACTCATAGGCAACAGCAAACACCACAGGTTCTCCTGAGTTCCGAACAACAGGCAAACGATCAAGCACATGTTCCAAAGCAAGTCGCTTGAGAATCGGACCCAGTGCTGTGGCCTCAACTGCATGCTCCTCTGCTGTTGGGGGCGCTGGCCGCCGAGCCGAATTTGTGCCTGGGTCACGCACAAACACTTCTGGCATATTCTGATGCTGACGCAACATGTCGGCGCGATATAACAGATCTCGAACACGCCTGTCACGGACCGCAGAAGACCCCTTTGCTGCTGCTGGATGCAGCCCCAGCCTCATGGCAGGCACCGCCTTCTTGTAGCTTCGGCACTGATTCACACACGGCGCAAGCTGTGCAACGAAATCCTTGGGGTTTCCGCACATCGCCTCTCGCAGGTCTTTGGCTCGGATCTGCAAAGACATGTATGCTGGGCTGTGGCATGGGCTCTTCTTGGAGCCCTTCTGTGCGCGGGCATGCTGGGATTCCACACGTCGCTCTGCAGTGGGGATTAATGCCAAGCCTGCGACCTCAGCTGCAAACAATGGGCACGAAGTCAAATCTGCCCCGCAACACCATTGGTCACCCTGCTGCAAGACGTCTGGCGAGAACAAGCGGGGCAAGTGCTTGCGAAGCCGGACAGCCTCAGGCCCCTCCTCAGAAAGACACCGGATACGATTCCAGACCTCACGAGCACGCTCCTGATCATTGTGAGCGAGGCCTGCAGCACACCATGGAAAGCTTCGGAAATGCGAGGTTTTTAAGGTAAGCACAGCCGTCAGGAACGACCGACCCATCTCGAAGTCTTGCACAACCGTGGTTCGTTCCTCTGCTGGAAGATCCGGGGGAAAACTTTGAACCAATGATGTAGCCCCATGTGATGACAAAGCAGAAAGCTCTTGCATGAAGTCATTCAACGCCAACTCCGGGGCACGACGGCCCCGCATCGGGCATGTTTCCAGGAGACACCTAGTCGAAGCATCCAGTGTGTTTGAACCACCACCTGTGAGAAGATGCCAGTGGCACGGGCAGCTTTCTGACCATGCAATCAGATGCAACGTTACTTTTGATGAGAGCACCAGCGTGGACAGGTATGCCTCAAAGAAGGGGCATCGCACGAGTGCATCGACATCTGCAATGGATACACCTTCTGCTTCGCCTTGACCGGCGACGGCACCTCCGTCCAGATACTTTGGCAAGCTCCAACCCCACCTCAACGAGGGCAACACTTCCTGCAGATCCAAAGCGCATGAAGCAACCGTGCCCCAGCGACCACGATAGCATTGAGACCGGAACTTTGCCACGGCTTCCTTGAAAACAGCCTCGCCCGGAACACCCTGACTAAAGCACTTGGCCAGCAGCCGCTCCTTGGAATGCCTCTCTCGCAAAAATTTTGCCAGGACTGACATCTTCGAGACTTGATCATCGTAGCACTCCATGCAAGAACCCAAATCTTTTGTTGCATTATGGATTATGTGCAGGAGGCCGCCTACCCCGAAAGAAGTGTCAAGGGATACTAGCCTATCATCTTCATTTTGTGCGGGGCAAGCTGGAACAGACTCCGACTCCAAGAAATTCTCGAGCCCTGCTTGGACCGAAAACCCTGCTAGATTTACATCATCCCCAAAGTCAGACTCTGCCATTACTTGGAAACCCTGACCCCGATCATCACTCGCCTGTGGCTGGCAAGACTCAGCATGGTCTGCTGCGGGTGGCTCGAAAAACGGAAGCATTGATGACAGCTCAAAAGGCTCAAGTCTCGTAAGCAAACTCTCCACACCCAGGTCTGTCGTGATACTGACAACACTCTTCAGCAAACGTCGCAGGATTGCAAAAGTCTCCAGCAATCAGATGCAGGGAATGCAAAAAAAGCAGACAAGCGATGGCCTGCATTGGCTGACCTGCCACCGAGTGTGGCACGAGGTGGGATAAATTGAACGATCTTTCGTCGCATCTGCTGAATAGTCAAGCGGATGCCGGGCGAGATGCCTTCGGACCTTAGATTCGAAATACAATCACTTGGTGACCGAAGCACATGCTCCTGACAATATGCACAGCCGAGTCATGCCATCATAATTATTCCTAGTGGATTGGTCTGACGCATGGTTCAGGTATCTTCAGCACATAAGTAGGTGCCCAGATGCCGAGTTGCAATGCCGCCGCACATCGCTTCAGCTGCGCTCAAAGAGCGCACGTTGCTGGGACATCTTCGGAGACTCCTCGGCGAGCGCGCCGATGGCATAATCCCGCCTATACTGACTCTCCCCTCGGTGAATGACATCATGGCCTTCGCCCGTAGGCGGCTAGAGGAGCCCGCTCGTGGCAACTTTCAGTGCTACGGCTGCTACGCGGAGACGCTGACTCAGATGGTTCGACCAAAGGACTATATATGTGTACACGCCGCCTCCTCTTGGCAGCCATGTGTGACGCACTGCGGGGCATGGACCGCGCTGAGCTTGCGCAAAGGTCTGTTATGGACCTCAGTGCGTATGGCAGCCATTGAACTGGAGATTGCGGATGATGTGCGCCCGTTTGCCAGTGGTCAGCTATTGACGCTGGGCTTGTATGGCAAAGGAGGTCTCCTCGGCCTGAGCAAGGATACCAACAGATCGTGCAACTTGCATCGCTTATTGAACGTTCTGGTGCAAGCCACATGGCCCCACCACATATGGACCAGCCTGGCACTGAGTGCCAACAACACTACACAGCTGCACATCGACAAAGGGAACATGGATGCTGAGGTGCTCTTAATCGGACTGAGTCATCACCTTCAGGGTCAGGTCTGGATCGAGGAGATGGGAGGCCAGTGTTATGAGGAGTTTGAGGGCCGGCTCGTGGCCGGCAATCGGTATGAAAGGTTTTGTCCCCCCCTCGTAGGCCTCGCAGGAGCATTGGGGCTTCGTGGGGTCCTTGGGTTCTAGGGGGTCTTTGCAGGTATCTCCGGAAAGGTATAGTCCGTGCACTCCAGATTCCTCGTCGAGGCAAGGACCCTCATTAGGAACCTGCACTAAGGGAGCACGGTCGTAGGGGATACCCTCCTGCTTCTGGGGTGGAAGCATGGAGGATCAGTCTGCTCAGTCTGTGCCAGCAAGGCAACATGCGCGACGTGGGATGTCCACTGCTCACCCAGGGCGGCACAATCTGTTGTCGTGCTCAGGCGCAGCAGCGGCACCACGGCCCATGGCGATCGTACGGCATGCTCTCAGTTCAAGTGCGCCTTTCTGGCAGATGCAACCTAGGGAGCTGTGCGGGCACCGATGTGCACAGGCAGGGGCGTGCATCAGGCTCATTTCGGATCGGGAAAGTACAGAACCCCCTCACGACCATTTCTTTTCCCCCTTTTCCTCCAGTTCGTTTGCAAACATGGGCGAAAGAAGCAGATCACCCATGCCCGGAGCAGAATCAGAAGGCAAAGACGCGGTGGCAACAACTCAGCAGGACACCAACCTCTTTGTTCAGTCGCAGATCTCGGACAGCCATCGCCTTCTAAGTCAACATGCCGGCAAGCTCAACACGCTCGATCAAAGATTTGCTCAAACCAAGGACCAGCTCCAGAAGCAGCAACAGCTCGAAGCATCAAAACAGGCAATCATCTCTTCCTGGCCGGATTCAGCTACCCAACGCGACAGAGAACAAGCCATCGAGAAACTCGTGGAGAAGGAGTTCACTCCGCCGCATGCACACATGCACGCAGACACTGAAGAGCAAGGGAGGCCTCGCACACTTCAGCATAGTGGAGTTCTACACGAAGGAAGCAAGGAACGACTTCTTAGATATGGTCAAGAAGGATATGTTGACGTGCCACGGGCAGATCCAAGTAGGACGAGCTCAAATCCCCAAATACCAATGCGAAGCAGATCAGCCTTTCAGGTGTGCCATCGCAGTCTACGCCCAGATAGCTGGCCGACAACAGCGCTATAAGCCTATCTGGGAGCTTACGGCAATTTGGCATGGAGGGGAATGGATTCTCATTGCGGAACCAGCAAAGCACGACAAGACACAGATCACAATCCACGTCCGCGCGGAGGACCAAGAAGTGCAAGCTTTGGGGATGCATAGGCCAAGTGGGGCCAGCAACATGGAGTACCTCGCAAACCGGATGCATACAGAGCCCAAGACCACTTCACAATCACCATCAAGGGCATCACCCCGGAGAAAGCCGCCGAGTATGACCAGAAGTACGACGCACAGTCAAAACGCAAACAAAGCACAGCCAGCGCCACACAGCAGGAGCGGGAGGACGAAACCATGGGGCCAGAACCTCGGGCAGCTACTGCACGACTTGACCGTAGTGTGAGGCCTCCGCCGGCCAGGGAAGGAGGTAAGGGTAAGGCGCCACAAGGCGCCCACTAGGATTTTCCGAGCCACCACGCTACCACCACGCATCAGCCACATTCCAAGACATCTCACACGACCATTTCTTTTGGGGTTATCCCCTCGCGCCGCCACGATGGCGAGCCGGGCAGCCCGCGGGGCGGTGTAACGACCATTTCTTCCGACCATTTCTTTTCGAGTGTCACAGTTGCATCACACAGCAGTTTCAACCGACCCCAGCGGTTACAGAGCGAAATCCGATCCAACAAAAGGGGGCGGAGGTCAGAAACAGCAACGATTTGTAGAAAAGCAAACAGAGCAGCCAACCGTGCAAAACATAGACGAGGATATCGATGGTGTTGTGCGAACTTGAGTGGTGTTGTTGATGACAAGGACCGGGGGCAGTTCGGGCATCTGCCACCATCCACCTCTTAAGCACTCCGTTTCCCAGCCCTTGAGAGACGCGCGTGTTCCAGAATCCACGTGCTTATACGCTGAGGCTACCAACCTCCACAGAAACATCCCAAAGTCACACAAGATCCCGTATGCGTTTGAAGTTCGTATTGCCTCTCTAAATGTTCGCTCATTGTTGAAGCCAGCCATGCATGCAGAAATCCGCCGAGGCCACAGGCCCAGGCGTTTTGGTGGTTACCTCAGGTACCCTCCACCTAATCCTCCCTGCACCCCAAATGTTTGGTGACACCCTGTTTTTGCGCTCGTTTGCCACCCCCTTGCCCGGCCTCCCCTCATTTTCTTTGATTTGCGGGCCTACCCGCCCCCTCCCAGGCCTCCTCCCCCTCTTTTTTTCCTCCACCATACCCCCCCCTCCCCCTCCCCCCCCTCCCCCCTGTGCCGATACACCCCCAAGGGATACTCCTTGTGAGGAGGTGTATGACCAGTTATTCCCTAAGGATCAAAGGGCAGCGCCCTGCACACGGACAGTAGTTGTTTTGTCTTGCTACGCAAGGAGAGCTTGTCTTGTCTCAATATGGTAAAACCACTGTGAGCCAATGGGCAGCGGAATGTATATGTATGAGCATGCAGCCATTGCTGTAGGTACCTGTTAGAGCTACCCCTTTAGAGGTTTATGGTTTCAAACAGACACTAATTTTCTTTTACCGGAAGCATGGCCGCACATTCACACATATACTGTTATGCCCACTGTCACAGTTGCGGAGTTTGGACTCATGATAAAAACAGCATATTATTTATGCTAGGTATAGCACTGAAGTACACTGCTGAGGACACTCCACTCATTTTGCACACACACTCATGCATGTTGGTCAGAGAGATCATCTGTACAAGATCATGTCTGGTGATGTTTTCTACATCGAATTATGCAGCCTTTCACTTTGCTCTTGCTAGAGCTTTGTGAGTCACTGTTGTGAAACTCTGAGATTCTCTTATCTCAGATTTGGATCCAGGGTTGGATCATAGGCTCGAGCATAGACGTTCGGATGTGGCTCATCCGGGTCTGAGTGGTCTTCTTCGGAACTTGAAAAGATTCCGAGTAATCTGTTCTCAGCCCTGGTGAAGGCGGCGTCTGCAGTATCATATCCATGGTTGGATGTTGTCGCCTTTGGCTCGGCCTTTGGAGCAGCTTGTGAGCTGGCTGGAGTTGCCTTGGCCCTTGCCGGTTGGGGCTGCTTAGCCTTTGCCCGTTCAGCCCTTCTTCTTTCAAGCTGTCCGTCTGAGGACGCCCATGATCTTTCACTTTCATCTCCTGAAGGAGATAAGGCGTGAGCATAAAGGCTATTCCAGTACTGTGGTGCAGAAGGAGTTAGGACTTCTTCATTGTCAGATTCTGACTGGTCTTCCTCAGAGCTTTGGTCGTCAAAGAGTGTCTCGAGGACATTTTTGAGATTGTTATTTCTTCGCTCTATCTCTAGTGAGGAATGGACCAATTGGTTAAAGACTGTCCTTGAGTCCTTCAGTGCTGTTAGAAGGATTTCCACTCTGGATAGAGTATCTTGGATGGTGTCAAGATGTTCCTTTCTTTCCTCCTTGTCTCTCTGGATAGAGCTTCGCAATGATTGTGCGATTCTGAGGAGGTCTGTGTATTTCGCAAGAGGCATAGTTACCGTTTGATTGTCATGTATGACAGTTGTTTCGTCGCCGCTTAAGTTCCTGAATAGGACTTCCACGACTGGTAGGAACTCCGTGCTCCACGGTTCCTCTTCATCATATGTTTCTACGTGCTGTAGCACGCGTTGTGTAAACTGGCCGGCTGCTTCTACCGTTGCATCGATAGAGCTGACGTGTCTTGCTGCCATGTTTCGGCACGTAACGTTAATTGCCTGGCCTTGATTGGCCTCGTTAAGTGCAGCGTCTGCATAGGTGCAGAGTCCACTGTTGTGGGCTTCTCTAGCTGCCTTTCGTTGAATGCGCCGATTTTGACCTCCTCTTCTAGTAGGACCTTTTGGTCTCGGAGGATCTGAAGGTACTGTTCCTTTCGCCTTTGGCGGAGGACTCTTAGGTGGAGGTGACATGTTTGCCTTGTTAGGCCCTGGTGGCATTGCCTTGGGCGCTGATGACGATGCGGCACTTGAGAGTGCAGATGTACCTCTGGCCTTTGCCGAGGATCCCTTGGGGATCGATGTATAGGTAATCTGCATGGCTTCTTCGGCCATTTGTGCATGCAAGGCATCCTTGAATAATTGTGTCATGTGAGGAGTGTTACTTGCATCATCGTAGGTCTGGAAGCGCTCAATGTCTCTTTCGGTGCCACGTGGTCGTGTATCACCTCTTTGGAAAGGATCGTTCCTGCGAATCTCCGCAACTTGTACTGCATGGAGGCAGTTTTTGCACAGCACCTTCTTGCAAACATCTCTTGCTTGCTTGAGCTGGTAACAGCTGTCTGAGAGATGGTAGACTTCGCTTCGGGAAGTATGCCAGATAGGTCGCAGATCAGTTGTTTCTCCGGAATTGACCCTGTTGGGTCCTAAAGGTTCACGTGTCTGCGGTTCATCCTCGGGTTCGAGGAATGGAACTCTTTGGTTCGCTGCTGCTTTTGATTTTGGTTGTTGGCGCTCCATACATCTGATAGGAGGCCTGGTAATCTGCTTCCACATCCAGTGTAAGCCCATTAGCAGCAGAAACACATTCCACGCGATGCTGAAGACGGAGAAGTCCTGCTCACTGGTTAGTGAGTTTGGAAGTGAAGTTTCATCAGTCTTGGTAGACTCTGCGTTCGCTCCACCTCGGTTGCGGTGTCCGAACCAGCCCGACAACCCCGCTGCTGTAGCAGCTGTTCTGAGTGCCTTGCCGCTCGGAGCAGACGGTGGACGCGATGCCTTCCTTCTTCTCCTCCGGCTGGAGGATTCGTCCTCTTGTTCCTCTTCATCTCTCTGAGCAGACATCAAGTTTGATGTTTCTCTTTCGTGTTCTTCGATGTCACTTTTTGTTGGTGACGGTTCTTCTTCTAGTCCATCCAGCTCTTCCAAAGACATGTTGAGCTTGTCAACAATATTGGTTCTTTGAGGCCTGGACCTTGATCTTGGTAGATCTTGTTGTGAAGAGGACGATGATTCCTGGTTCCTTCTTGGAGGAGGACCTTCAGGCTCGCTGGGACGTTCAGGCTGTGGCCACTCCCAGAATCTTCCATATCTGTGATGGCTACCTGATGGTTGCGATTTGTCGTACCAGCTGTTGCCGGATGAGTAAACGAATGAATCGTTGTAACCCCAGTATTCAGCATTACGCTGCTTGTAAGCCTTTCGCTTGTCAGCGATCTTTTGGACCTGGGCATCTGACCGGTTGTGTTTCCCTTTTGTAAGGATTGGTTGAATCGTGAAGCCCAAAGGGCTGTGCCAATCTTTGTCAGAGGGACTCAACCATAGGTCAAGGTTAGAAAAAGTTGAATAGTACTGCTTGACTGAGACAAACAGACGGATATCAATATCCCTGTTGTTATTCGTGTCCTGCC